TTCCTAGATTCATCATTTCGTAATATGACGTATACATTCACAATATTTTCACAATATAGTTTTTTTTTATCAAGTAATAATGTGTCGTTTTAAATATAAAGTTGATAAATTTTGGCACTCTTTATACATGTAGATGTGTAAATTTTGTCGTCGTGTTAAATTCCCTACGTGAACTGAACATTTTTTTTATTGTTTTATTTTTTCTAAAGAGCATGCGTAACCAGTTCATAGTATACTTGTTCCTGATTGTCACTGAATCGTAACATGCAAAAAATCCTACCAACGTATGTGAGATATTAAAGTCTAACGGAAACGGATAAATGCAAACATTTAGGGTAATGTAACGTCTTGCCCTTTAACTGCATCGTGAATGTGACTTCAAGCTTGGCACATTAAAACAGCTTTTAATTGGCACCGTATGTTCAATTATCCATTTCGAATCGTTATAACCAGCGCGGGTTTTGGCATACAAGACAATAAATATGGCGTCACCACCTAAATAGGACCTTGTGCAGAGTTCGGTTTGGCGTGTTGATTTTTAAAATAAGGAAATCATACTTCCAGACCAGCTTTAAACCCCCGTTCTAATCATTGCTCGACCGCCACAGACTCTGTCCCCGTAACTTTACGGTCAACTACTGCCTATTACAAGCAGAACCAATTGCTTAAGGTGTTCGCAAGCGTCTGTGAAATGAAATAGGCATGGTGATGCTTTTTGCCAATAAATCCCTCCTGCGGATGAGCCCTGGTGAAACACATGAGGCCATATAATGTTATTTTGTATTAAGTGAATTACATAACACGAGATTCAAGTTTCTGTTTTCAAGTGATGATGCAGATATTTGATGGCTTTATGGAACTATGCCGTGGGAGCTCTGCACGGGCTCACCGTTCCAAGTACGTCCCCCAACTCCCGAGTACAAAGCAAAATTATGCTGACATTCGCGAAAAATACAGAAGCCTGCCTCTGCAAGAGCAGTCTGTCTGGACCAAGCCCGGTGCTATTCTGTGCACGTTTGGCTAGACGTACGCGTTTGGCTCTGTCAATGTCCAACGAAGCTTCGTCTACAATGTATCAAAGTCAAGAGGTCATCACAGACAATTACACTGATGTCACCCAAACCTTTCCAACCTCTTCCTTCTTACGGATCCCACAACTGTTGTGCAGTCAATACCAGACCTCAAATGTCTTCTGTTAAAAGTATCCCACCGGCTCTGGCTTTAGGGTTTCCTCTTGGTAATCTCTCCTTCTCCACCCTACACACGTGCCCCAACGCATGGCATAAAAATATCTTTCTGATTGTGCCTACAATGCTTCCTTGGCACTTTCTATTCTAACTTCAGAGTTGTCATTCCTACCGTGGATTTCCTTGCTTGCTTCCGCTTTGAACTGCAAGTAAAAGGCCAAAAGCTTTATCTAGTTGTCTAGAAAAAGCCCAAAGTTCACATCTTGCTGAAATAGCTGACACAAATTTGCCTTGCCAATTTGATAACGGAGACATTGGAAACTTTTTGTCAAAATTTAGAAAAAAATATACCTTTCGCCGACATGTTAATTATGCCCCAGGTCTCCGAATGACATAGAAGCAAATCAAGTATACCTGTGATGATATGACATTATACCTGCCTCAAACACCTGTGCTTCAACTCCAAAGTTCACCTCTCCATAGTTCCAAAGTGGTTGTTTATTCAGGCCTCTACTGCCTTCGCGTGGTCATTAATAATTGGCACCTGTAGTAGGGATGCAGAAGTTCCACTTGCAACCGCTGCCAGAAACTTTGTGTGTGTGTTTTTTTCAGGGCTCACCTCCAATACCGAAAGAAATGGCCCCAGCCAGTCCGAGTTAACCAACCTGCACTACTACCTGCATTGCAAACTGAAAGTCTCCCATACTCTGGCTAAACGTAGCGTTACCAAAGGCAGACCCGGGCCTCCGATGGCCAGCGACATCCACAAAACGCCGCAAAACTCTCTGCCGCTCAGTGTCCCATCAAGTCACAAACCACCACACCATGGACACGACTCGGTTATAGGAAAGACCACAGCATTGATAATGTTGCTACAAAACGTATTTCGGAGGCTTGAGTCAAGTGATGGACATGTCGGCACAATTTCAGCGGAATCAGTCCAGAGCAATTGATGAAAAAAAAATTACGTTTCACGACAAAATGCCTCGACCTTTCACAGATAGATACACTCAAAGCAGTTAAAAGGTTCAAACGAGTAAATTCGAAGTGGTCGGTATGACTTTGATTAGAAGGAAATCGTGTAACGCAGAGAGCCCATTAAGCGACTCTGAGAAATAATTACGCAAAACGCATAATTTCCAATGCAAAAGAAAAAAATACATTAAATCCCATAGCTTCAAAACGTTATCATACAACCACTGCATTTTACTCACCCCAAGAAAGAAACGTGAATCAACACAACGGTCCCGGACGCTATAACGGCGAATTTAAAAAATCGCTTTTAAAGATGCTAATAAAGCAATAATACTGCAACTGGTAATGCTGTGAAGACGCAGAATTAAGAAAGCGGTGTAAATATTTCGTCGTTTTTTTTAAACACGGTAAAGGGAACGGGGGGAAAAGGGTACATTTCCACTAAGTGTTAAAATTTAGATTGGTTCCGACAGCATTTGATGGAGGTATATGTCATCATGGTAGTATTCTAATATTCCACTTAATTAGTAATAAATACATTTTTTCTCTCTCTCTCTCATCAACACAATGCAATACAAGGTACAGTACAGTGGCTAATTGCAGTGTAAATACAGTAAATAAGCTTTACAAATCCTATAGCTACTATGGAGGCTTTGTTTTGAGGACCTAAAGTGGCTATAACTATTATACATACATTGTGGTTATGTGGACGGAAGCATTATAAAAGCGGAAGCCGGTCCAGACGATGTTGGGAGTCTCATTGTCTCCCCCTGTACGGTGAGACAACGCCGGGACAAAGACAAAGATCCCCCGTATAGCCATAACAGACTTTTTGGGGCAAGTGTGGTTAGCGAGCACCTATGAAGGCCGGAACGGCACACGAGGGAGAGTGGTATGGCCAACACCACGCCCGACCGCCTTTGTCTCCCCAGTGGCGATGTTTACACACCGCACCAGGTACTCATTTGAGGCTGAGTCGACCTAGGGGAGGGCCCAGGACCGGTTCAGATAATCCGTCACTGGGTGTTGGTGGGCGTGAGCGGGAATCGAACTCGGGTCGCCGGGTTTCATAGCGCGTTGCGCTCATCGCTACGCTACCGCTCCCCACGGTGAGACAATGCCGTGACACGCGCACGCACGCACGCACACGCACACACACACATCGCACATCAACGTTCTCGCTTGCTGTTCAACCAAGTGTGTGTGATTTTTTTTCCAGTATTCCTCTTTTTTGTTGTTAACGTTCCATTAAGATTAATTATTCTTTTTCAGATTTCCATTAAAATATACACTGACGATGCTTTACAAGAGAACATATACCCATGTTGGCTGAACAGCTAAGCAGCCTTCAATAACGTCAGGCGTTTCCCATCAGCAAGGCAGGGGAAATGAGTTGAAAGGGAGCTGGAGACTCTCGCGAGCCGAGCATCCTCAAGTCTTGGCCGCAAGGTTGATATCTTACGTCCCCGCGCATAAAAGACCCGGGGCAACGGTTTTCTGGCCACCGTGACCTCCGGAGTCGCGAGGTCAGAGACGGCTGGCCCGAGGCCAGCGCAATGGCTTCCACACAGGGCCCCGGCGTGCCCGAGTTGAAGTTTCCACGCTCGCCTCACCAAAACATTTGACAGACGTGCGTAAAAGCTACCGGGCAGCCGGTTCTCACATATTTTTGTCCGGTTGATAAAAGAGTTGTCAGACGTTACAGCGTATTCTTTGTTATTATTGTTGTTGTTGTCTTCGTCGTCGTCGGATGTGGACAAAAATGTGCAAGCTGGAAACACTTCGATCAACCGTAACTTTTGTGGGCCTTGATAACGATTAAGCAAATAGGCCACAAATAACACTCACATGGCATTTGTGGGTTTCATCAATATGCACAGCCCTTTTAGGTTAAATAGTTACCATTTAACTAGATACGTTAAAACTAAATATATTTAAATCAAATATAAAAATATCTGTTACTTTGATTAACCTTTACATCATTTTCAGACCAATTTGTGTCTGTCAAGTATCGTCATATATATATGCGTGTGTGTATATTTAATGTGAACATTCCAATATTTTTACCTTTCCATCCATAATACCAGTAAAACCTTGGATTGCGAGCAAAATTCGTTCCGGAAACGTGTTTGTAATCCAAAGCACTCGTATATCAAAGCACTCGTATATCAGTTGTGATCACGTGACACTCGGCAGTACAAAGCGTGTATACGTACTACTCGTATTGCAAGACCTCGCTCGTTTATCAAATTAATATTTATTTAAAAAATTTGCTCATCTTGCAAAACACTCGCAGACCAAGTTACTCGCAATCCAAGGTTTTACTGTAAAACCAAATGTGCAGTGGTGTAGGGGCCAGTAAATGAAGCATTTGGCATACATATTTTAAATAACGTAACCACCCTAAAGTAAAAAAAAAACTCTAGAAGCACTCTTGTTCAGTTCTCTCTTGATTCGTTGTGAGATTAGCACTCCATCCTCCCTCCTTCCCCGTCACCCCATCAGCGTCCACGCAGCCCCCCCCCCCCTCTCCTGCCGCCCCCCCTCCCAATCTAAAAAAATAAACGTGTGCCGAATGTTCGTAAGAAGAGGCACCCACTGTTTTTCGGGTGATAAACTGTTTTAACAGTGCCAAGACCCCCTCCCCCCCCCCCCACGGCCACCCACTCCCTCAATAATTGTGTCAGGCGGCATGGATTCCAAAGTGTCATTTCTTTTAACGCCTCAAAAGTCAAATGGGGATCGCTAGAGCGTGCCCGTGTTTTGTTTTGACACGACGTTTTTGGACATGCGGCAGGCCCACCCCCCCTACCCCCTTTAGGGGTCGTTCCAGTTAAGGGGGGGGGGGGGGGTCGGGAAAAAAACGTTACGCCGACGAAATTCTCCCTTCGTTGTTTTTCTGTCGGTAAAATTTTAAAAGCACTGAGCAACGTGACACACTTGACATTAACGTGAAAACATCGTGGTTTTGTTTTTCCCCCTTTCTAAACTTGCGACACAAAAAAGGTTTAAGAAAAATAACCTTTTCTTTTGGACTGTCAGCTGTTTCTTTTATATTTTTGAAGTCATAGATTAAAAACATTGGAGGGCACTGTGGTATTATAGAAGGCATATATAGCACAAGATAAGCACCTATGTTACTATGTACCATCAAAATATCTCCCCGTCTCTTTTATGTGTGTGTGTGTGGCCATCGAACGAGCTACCTTGGACAGCGACACCGCACATCCTTCAGAATCTTGAGATAGCTTCTCGCGGTGTGAAAAGGAGCCACGCGTCTCAAATCCTTTAACGCCGCTCGCAATCGACGTCGGAATGCGAATTGCGGCTCGTGTCCCGTCGTCGGGACGCTCGTTTACATATTGTGTGTGTTGTTTGTTTGTTTTCTCTTATTGTTCCCGTGTCAGAATAAAACTCTCGATTATTGGGAGGGGAAATATATACGAACGAGGCCAAACGAATACGTAAGAAAATATTTTTTTGATCTGATTGCAGTTACAAAAAATGTTCATGCTGCTGATTTGTTTTTTTATATATATGTTTATATTTTAACTTGGCACCGTGGTTGCAGCAGTTTTTTTTTTTACGTGTGGCTCAGGTCAAAAGTCGGATTTCTGCAACGTAAGCTCGGTTTTGTATTTTGTTAGGTATGACATACCCGAAATTTTATTTTCTCATTAATGGCAATGCCTCCTGTCTTAAGAATGGAATGGCAGCACCAAACCACAGTACCCTCTGGTACAATCTAAGAAATCGAGTTATTTTCCTGCAACTTTTTGTTGTTATTATCAGCAATTCCACATCTTTGGCGCTTGTCCAAATGGTGTATGTCTTGAAAATAAAAAAAAACAATTTCAACCCTATCCCTGCCAATATGCCAGTTTGCTTTAAAAAAGAAATGTGGGGGGTATCTTTGTTGTTGTTGTTGTTGTTTCGGATCCACATAAACTGTAAACTGCAATCGTTAAAAAAGTAAACAAATACAGACTCGCAAATCTGTTTGCTTCCAAGAACCAAAGTGGCTCTGGACCAGAGCCATTTTGCTCAGGGTCCACAGTCTCCTGAAGCAACAATTCTCCCCGGTCTGCGTTTAAAAAAAAAGTAACCAAAGAACTGGTTGATTAAAGTGACGTAATGCCATCTTCATCCCCTAAAACTTCTTTACAAGTGGATTGCAGGAAAACAAACGAAACAAATCCCTCTTGCAAAGTCAAAGAACACTTTTTTTTTACCATTCCCAAACCTGCATCAAAGGCAAGCGACTTAATCAACCACTTCACCAATCGAGTATCTAAAACAAAAAAAATCAGATGTCAATTTCCTAAAATAATTGCACGAGGAAATGCAGTAGTACTGTCATTCCAAAGAAGTAATAATTTAATGGATAATGTTAAATATATTACTAGTTTTCAATAAGTGTTGTACCGTTTGTGAATTTTTCTTTCTTTCTTTCTTAAAATTCATCAACAATTCGGCGTTTGACCATATTTCACCGTGGGCGTGTTTGGGGACCATCTCTGGGGGCGTGACACTATCTCTCCAGGAGCTGCCGAAGCGCCCGCTCGATGTTCATGCGATGGCCGACCCGCGTGACCCCCAGCTCCAGAAGGTCGTCCTTCTGCAGCGACGGAAGGTGCGTGCCGTCGATCTCGTTCTCCAGGAAGCTGTCCCGGTGCTCCCCCAACCTGAGGCTGTCCAGCCAGTCCGCCACGTCGAACTTGCTCCACAGCTCGATGGGCTTGCGCGAGAACGGCTGGATGCCCAGCGACAGTTGCTGCTGCGGCTGCATTTGCTGCAGCAGGGAGGGCGACGGCGACGACACGGAGGAGGAGGGCTGCTGCAGCTGTTGCAGCAGAGACGGAGCCGACAGCGGCTGCTGCATCTGCTGCAGGAGCTGGGGCGGCGGCGGCGACGGGCCGGGAGAGCGCGCCGCCGCCGCCGCCGCCGCCGCCGCCCGGCCCAGCAGCGGCGGCGACGCGTGCTGCGGCGAGATCGAGAACTTGACCTCCCGCGTCGGGGTCGGCGCGCGCGGCTTCAGCGGGGGCGGCAGCGGCGGCGGCGGGGGCAGCCCGGGCGGTTGAGAGAGCGCCAGCATGAGGGGCGACGGCACGGCGGGCATGGGGGGAAGCGTGAGAGCGGGTGGGGGGGCGATGGCCCCGCCGGCGGTGGCAGCCGCTTGGGGTCCCCCCACGAAGCTTTCCGATTGGTCGCCGCCGGAGGGGCTGGGCGTTGCCCTCCCGACCTGCGCGGCTGGCTGCGGTCGGAGGTTGAAGGTGATGCTTGGGGCCCTGTCTGCGCTGCTGATGGGCCTGCGTTTTAGACGAATGAACAAGCAAAGCGAGAGATTAGATAGAGAAGCCGAGGAACTGAAGTGGTAACCTCATCGTCATGAGGTGATTTGTCTGCTGCACATACAGTGCTTTGTTCATTAATACAGTCTATCATTACCTATGTAATACTGCTCTACAAAGTACATATACACATATTTAAGTTTTGTAATGATGTTTTTGGATAATGTACAATGTCAATTATTTTGCTGTCTTATTACCGACAATAGGGATAAAGCTCATGTTCTCGCTCAAATGAGCATTGAGACAGTGCTCATCTCCTTGTATGGAGCACTGAGCCAGCGGTGGAAATTCCACGCTTCTCTGGTGAAGACATCCGGAGGAGAAGCACCGTGGGACCCTCCCCACAAGTGGCGTCGACCCCGGGGAAGACGATGGGACGAGTCAACCGCCAACGAGGATTTGAACCCCGGAACCTTTCCGGTTGCGAGCCGCTCGCTCTCGCGCCGAGCCAAGGTGAAGGCGAAGCGCTTCGCTCGGTAAACCGTTACCCCGCTCGCTCACAAACGACGTTGGATGCACGTCCTTTTGGTCTTCGGTTTTTAACGTTGTGCTCGCGCACGCCTGAACGTTAACACACAGACTAGATTCGAGGCTTTCGTGACTGCAGGAATTACTCTTTGGTTCCATCGGTAAAGTGACGTAGGAAATAAAATCAAATGATAGTAGAATACAACGTTTCGGTTGCAACACAAGCAACCGTCATCAGGTAAGAATGAGTGATGAAACACAGACACGGGAACAGCATAGGCAGACACACGTGTCTTTGTGTGTGTCTCTCTCTGCATGTGTGTCTGCCTATGCTGTCCCCGTGTCTGTGTTTTATCGTTCGTTCTTACCTGATGACGGTTGCTTGTGTTGCAACCGAAGCGTCGTATTCTATTATCATTTGATTTGATTTTCTACGTCACTTTACCGATGGAACCAAAGAGTTAACACACAAACCCCCCCCAAAAAAACTCTCGTGCCAGAAATTCTTTAGAGGGCACGTTTTAACGGTCGAAGCAGTTTCTCGCATTTCCCTTTTCCAAACCATTTCCCATTCCGTTTGACGTACGTGTGTACGTCACCAGGTTTTCTCCCGATTCCATTCCGATGACGTACGTGTATGTTCTGATGACGCGTACGTTATTGGAGCGGAAAAAATTTTTCAAATGAAATAACTTTTTTCGGAACGTTTCCAGGGCAGAAGACGTACCGAGGCTCCCACAAGGCCATGCGGGAGGGCGCGTGGCACAGTTTGGCGCCAGCTGTCGTAGATGAAGGCTTTTTGGGGTTAGATCGCGTGAATATAAAGGTCTAGTTAAACCCGCCACCACTCGACACAGCCAATCAGTAAGGTTTGTCACGTAAACAAAACGTGCTAATTAGTTACTGCTTCAGCACACCGGTGTGTTGGAGAGTAAACCCGCAACATTTACAATTTGAGTACGACGTTCCGCTGGTAATCACAACAACCAGCTTCATCAGGCGGTTAGCCAGAATTGTGAAGAAGTCCTCCTGTTTCGGTCTTAAATAGAGTAAAGGTAAAAGTGATGTCATCAATTTGAGACTACGCAGCCCCTATTATCCATTTTAATTTATATATCATATTTACCCCACAATCAGAATCTTTATTTAGACTGGAAGGAACCCGATGAGCTATGAAGCTCTTTTTCACAGACGCCCAGTGCCAGATATATATATATAAAAAAAATACCCGTCACAAGTGAATATGTTTTCACGTTACGATGAACGTGTCTGGGCCCAACTATCCTTAAGTGTTTTAGTTTTACCTGACCACCGGCTCGGCTGCGGCTCTTCGCCTCTCCCGGCTCATCTCCTGCAGCCGTGAACTCAGCTCGCTGATCACACTCGTCTTGGCATCAAGCGGCGCGGCCTTGTGACCCTCGACCCTCTCCAGCGACGTCTCCGCCTCCCACAGCCTGGTTTCGCCACCGCGCGCAGGTCGCGTTCACAAGAGGCACACAAAAGACAACGATTCCCCCGGGTAGCCTCAAAACACCGTTTTTGGGGGGGCGAGTAAGCCGTCACAGCGAGCACCTGTACGAAGGGCGGCACGGCACGGGATGAGGCGGTGTCGCCGGCCCAACCACGCCCGTCCGCCGCCTTTGTTCTGCCGTAGTGTTACATTCATCGTTTCCAAGTTTTAAGTTCGCTTTGTTTGAGAACTCGAGAGGCGAGGCAGAGTCTCATTTGCAAGGGTGACCCGGGTCCCCAAAATGGCAACAACAACAACAAACAAAACAAATAAAGCAAATGGATAGCAACGGAAGCGAACAGACGTGACGGCGAAAGCAAAGCGCGTCGCACGAGAGCGCGAAGATGTGGCGCAGACGTTACACCGAAGCAGACAAAGGGGATACTTGAATCATTTGCGGGGTCCCGCAAAAATCAGGTCAATAATTATTATTTTCTCAGTCCGCCCACTCGTGATCCCGACAGCAACGCGCCGTCCGCCCAGACTCGCGCCAGCAGCAGCAGCAGCAGGCGGCGATCAACACGATGGGCGCCACCCCACCGGCCAAACGCGAGCCCCGGGGGGCGTCCGCCGCGGTCGCGCGCGGCGGCGACGACGCCCTCCGGTCAGCCGTCAATCCTCAGCTTCTTTGCCAAGGCGAGCCCGCCTCCCCCCCAGGCGGTGAATTGAACGTGTTTATGTAACTTTTCAACTTTTTACGAAACTTAGTGTCCCCGAGTAGCTCTCGACGATTCCAATCGATTGACCACTAGTTGTGTTGCTGTCGGTAAGGCAACAAGACTCGTGTCGCTACGCGGTTTCTCCCCACCCCGGGGCAGTGACGGTGACCCCGGGGTCCCGCCAATTGCTTCACTTGTCGAACGCAACCGCGCGAGAGTGAAGTAGGTGATCGCTGAAGGTTCGACCGCCCCGCATCGAACCGCAACGCAGACGCCCGAGGCACCGAGGCGACAATAACGAGCACAGGTCGTCGATGAGCTCAGCACCTTGCCTTCGCCGTAACTTCGTCGTCACGGGATCCAAATGATTTGGTCGCCGCGCACGCGGTGCTTTGTGAATTCATGCACTCATATCATTACCCATGTAATACTCGCTCTACAATTTACATCTGCAGCAAAACCCCTCTTAACGGCCACCCCTGCTGACGACTAATCGCTAAATGACTGGCCTCCATAGAGCCGAATGTGTAGTGTATAGTGTAGTGTATAGTAGGGTAGTGTATAGTGTAGTGTATAGTAGTGTATAGTAGTGTAGTGTATAGTAGTGTAGTGTGTAGTAGTGTAGTGTATAGTAGTGTAGTGTATAGTAGTGTAGTATATAGTAGTGTAGTGTATAGTAGGGTAGTGTATAGTAGTGTAGTGTATAGTAGTGTAGTGTATAGTGTAGTGTATAGTAGTGAAGTGTATAGTAGTGTAGTGTATGGTAGTGTAGTGTATAGTAGTGTAGAGTGTAGTGTATAGTAGTGCAGTGTATAGTAGTGTAGTGTATAATAGTGTAGAGTGTAGTGTATAGTAGTGCAGTGTATAGGAGTGTAGTATACAGTGTAGTGCATAGTAGTGTTGTGTATATTAGTATAGTGTAGTGTACAGTGTAGTTATAGTAGTGTAGTGTATAGTGTAGTGTATAGTGTAGTGTATAGTAGTATAGTGTAGTGTATAGTGTAGTGTAGTGTATAGAAGTGTAGTGCCTCCATAGAGCCCCATGTGTTCGCTTACTGACCATTCCCCTGTTAACAATGGGGTGTTGTAGGTACAGCAAATATGAATTTATGCATTGATTAACCATGTTTCTTTTAATATTATGTGTTTATAATGCTGTTAGTATCTCTATGTATGAATGTCCATTGTTTAAATATTATAACGTACGCTTTTTTGTGGCGAAAAAGGGTCACTTTCGATGTTACCGGAACAATTAAGCCTATCACGTGTGCTTCCTATACTCGCTTAATGACCGAATCGCTTAACGACCGGCTTCGTAGAACCGATTACCGTCGTCAAGAGGGGTGCTACTGCGCACATGTTTAAATTTGAGTAATTATGCACGGCACGGGGTTGGGGGTGGCGGCTAGCGGCACCGCCGACGTGCGTGGCACCGCCGACGTGCGTGGCACCGCGCGGCTCCCACGGCCGCTCCTCCCGCTGCCCTCACCTCTGCACCGACGACTTCGGGCGCGGGGCCACGGGCGGCGGCGGCGGCGGCGGCACGGGCGGCGGCGGCGCCATCATCATCATCATCGTCGTCGCGGCGGCGGCGGCGCCCATCTCCTGCTTGTGCAGCGGCTCGCTGAACGTCACCACGGAACTCCGCAGCGCGGGCGGCCGGAGCTTGGGTTTGGGAGGGACGGGCGGTTTGTCCTGCTGCTGCTGCTGCAGCAGCTGCTGCTGCTGCAGCTGCTGCTGCAGCTGCTGCTGCTGCTGCTGCCCGTAGTGATGGGGCACCAGGCACGGCTGGCCATCGGCGAAGGAGGTGTGCGTGTCGGGCGGCTCTCCCGTTTCGGACGACAGCGTGGAGATGCTCGACACGGTGGAGACGGTGCTCGTCGTCTCGGCCGGCTGCTCGCTGGCCCCGCTCCGGGACGACTCGATCTCCTCCAGGCCCGAGTCCAGCGACTCGCTCCCCACGCCTCTGTGCCCCTGCTGATGAAGTTGGTGAAGATGTTGATGCTGCTGCTGCTGCTGCTGCCTCCTCGTGTCCAGGGAACCTTGCTGCTGCTGCTGCTGCTGAGGCATGGAAGTGGCGAAGCCATTGGCGAACTCCAGCGGAGGTGGGATGGTCTCGGTGGCAAAGGCAGAGAACTCCCCTTCCTGGGGGACGCCGGGCGACGCGGGCGGGGACGGCACGCACATTTGCAGCGGGCTGCCGCCCGCCCGCAGTTCACTCGAGCCCATCGGCGACGAGGCACCCCTCTTGCTCCGCCGATCGACGCCTCTCTCCGGGGCCACTCCCACGTCGTGGCCGAGCTCCGAGCCGACGCCGCCACCGCCGTCTTCGCTCGTGGTGTGCACCATGAGCAGCCCGGCCGACTTCTGCTGCGACGTGTCCATGATGTTGATGATGACGCTCTTCCGCTCCACCACCGTCTGCGGCGGTGGCGGAGGTTCTTTCCTAAATTTGGGCGCGTGCTGCTGCTGCTGCTGCTGCTGCATCAGTGACTGCTGTATGGACTGTTGCATCGAGTGCTGCATCAGCGGCTGCTGCATCGAGTGCTGCATCAGCGGCTGCTGCATCACAGCCTGCTGCATCAGCGGCTGTTGCTGCTGCAACGGAGGCAGCTCCCACACCACACTCCGGGGCGGCGGAAGGGGCGGCAGCTCCTTCCTCGTCCTGCTCTCGAAGGCGGTGGGGTGGTGGTGGTGGTGGTGGAGCGGCTGATGTTGGTGGTGGTGTGGGTGATGAGGCTGGGGGTGGTGAGTCTGCCCGGGCACCACGATGGACACTTGCCTCTGCTCCGGCCGTGCGAACGTAAGCCCGGTGGCCGGCGGGCCAGTGATGACGTTCGCCGCTCCGAAGAGGTACGTGAGCGAGCCCATTGGCTGCTGCTGCTGCTGCATGTGCTGCTGCATCTGCTGCTGCTGCTGCTGCATGTGCTGCTGCATGTGCTGCTGCATGTGCTGCGGGAGCGGCGGCGGAGGCGGCGGCGCCGCCATGCGCGCCTGCATGTTGCTCGCCAGGTGCTCTTCGTCCACCGACTTGGAGTGCTTGAGGATGGGCTTGGGCGGGCGGCGCTGCTGGCGCGAGGGGTCGCCCGACAGCAGCGAGAGGTCTCCCGTGGAGCGGTGGCGCTCCTCGATGCGCCGCTGCCTCTCGTGCACGGCGAACGCGATCGCCGCTGAGAAGGGGTCCTGCCGGGAGGTGGCGGTGAGCACGCGCGTCGCGATCGCCGCTCGGGACGCCCGCCGCCGCTCGTCGCCGCGCGCCGGCTTGCCGCCGTCCGGCTGCTCGACTGACGGCGCGGCTCGGCGGAGACGGCGGCCAGAGCCGATCGATTCCCACGTCTCGTCCAGAGGACAACCGCCGGAGGCGGAGGGACGCCATTCCAAGCCGCGCGCAGCGTCGGAATTGAAAAAAAGTCTAAACCGCGGGTTTCCCTCGCTCGACGCGGGTTTTCGGTCGGTGCGATTTCGCGTGTCCGCTGCCGACCCATTGGCTAGGCTAAATTCGCTCCGTGCGGTTTGAATTGACCCACACGCGGCTATGCGGTCGGACGTGGGACAACATCCTGTGTTTACTGTAGGCACTACTCGGCTGGAAGGTCATTAACATAATGATTTAGAATGATCCAATATACGGCGCTCGGTGTGATTTTATGTAATATTGTTTTTTAGTGCTGATGGCCTGCGGTGTAGAAAGAGGGCACTTAGCAATAGCATCTGGAAATTTTGGAACATCCTAGTAACCAATTTTGACATTCCAAATTCACTCTCTCTAACCACGTGTGTGTTCAGGCCATGCTGCAGGCTCAACTCTGCCACGACTGCTGTGAACGCTTTCGCGAAACTCCGTTACGTCTGGGGCTATGCGCACGCAGGTCTGTCACGTGATTTTCTTTTTGGCACCGTTTTTTATTTGTATTTTTAAACACCGTATATTGTTTACCCTGTTTGCGGTACATTCTGGCGTGGGTTTACAGTAAGTTCTGCCGTGGGTCTCGCTTAATAAGCCGATTTAACCGCAGGCGGCTGCCTGGTTTTCGAACCCAGGATGTGTCAGCGGTGTGAGCTCCCAGCGCTCCGCATCTGTGGGCCACCTGACCCCCGTTCGAGTGTGATCCCACCTTGAGACCGAACAGGAAAAACGAAGACCGGCTGCAGCTACCACTACAAGGAGGGGATGTGAGGGTGGGTTGCTGTGATAGATGTGATGATGATGATGATGATAATCAATACTAAGGAAAGCCACACTTAGTACGACAACTCTCCGCAGGAGGGTCCTGCTTAATTTGGATGTTCGGTCCAACGCCAATTAGATTGTAGGTTTGTTTATCTACGCGAGGCAATCGGAGAACCCGGAGGAAACCCGTGCGGAACGGGGAAGACAACGCAAAAGGCTCAAGCCCTTCTTGCTGCGATGCACAAGTTTTAGCACCGCGCCACTGAAATGTCACGCGCGTGCACGCTGACATCCCACCCCCACCCCCCTCGCTCCGTACGTAGCCGACCGCTCAACGGAGCCCGCACGGCGAAAGCAACGCGCACCTGGAACGACGCGGAGGGAGGTGCGGTCTCTCCCAGCGCGGCGGACCCCGCCTCGGATTGCAGGCCGCTGAAGGTCACCTCGGGGATTTCCATCTCCTTGGGCTCAGGGCCTGGGGTCTCGCACTCCATGCTGGAGCCCTGGCTGCTTCGGCCACTGCTGCTCGTCGAGGGCTCTGGGGACAGCACGGCACGGAGAGAGACAGCTGTGGGTGAGCGGGTGAGAGAGAGACAGCTGTGGGTGAGCGGGAGAGAGACAGACAGCTGTGGGTGAGTGGGTGAGAGAGAGACGGCTGTGGGTGAGTGGGTTAGAGAGAGAGACAGCCATGGTGAGTGAGTTAGTGAGAGAGACATCCGTGGTGAGTGAGTTAGAGAGAGACAGCCGTGGTGAGTGCGTTAGAGAGAGACATCCATGGTGAGTGAGTTAGAGAGAGACAGCCGTGGTGAGTGAGTTAGAGAGAGATGGCCGTGGTGAGTGGGTGAGAGAGAGACATCCGTGGTGAGTGGGTGAGAGAGAGACAGCCGTGGTGAGTGGGTGAGAGAGAGACAGCCGTGGTGGGTGAGTTAGTGAGAGACATCCGTGGTGAGTGAGTTAGAGAGAGACAGCCGTGGTGAGTGGGTGAGAGAGAGAAAGCCGTGGTGAGTGGGTTAGAGAGAGACATCCGTGGTGAGTGAGTTAGAGAGAGACATCCGTGGTGAGTGGGTTAGAGAGAGACATCCGTGGTGAGTGAGTTAGTGAGAGACAGCCGTGGTGAGTGAGTTAGAGAGAGATGGCCGTGGTGAGTGGGTTAGAGAGAGACAGCCGTGGTGAGTGAGTTAGAGAGACAGCCGTGGTGAGTGGGTTAGAGAGAGACATCCGTGGTGAGTGGGTTAGAGAGAGATGGCCGTGGTGAGTGAGTTAAAGAGAGACATCCGTGGTGAGTGGGTTAGAGAGAGATGGCCGTGGTGAGTGAGTTAGCGAAAGACATCCGTGGTGAGTGAGTTAGAGAGAGACAGCCGTGGTGAGTGAGTTAGTGAGAGACAGCCATGGTGAGTGAGTTAGAGAGAGATGGCCGTGGTGAGTGGGTTAGAGAGAGGTGACTGGTACTGTATGTCGGCAGGTCCATGCTAAATCTAATTCACCTTTACTTAGCTTTTCTTTAGGGAGGTGAGGATGCATTGAAATTCGGAACCTCTTCCCATCAATCGACGACACCTGCAACTTTCACAACGAATTTTTATCTTCCCGATTAATTTTTAGAACGCTATATATATTATCTTTTTATACCGTGGCTTACTCTCGCGAATCGTGTTAGCGGGATCTTTATAGGGGATGATGCGCGCTTTGGAAATTAATCGTAAGCAACGAAACATTTTTGTAACAAAAATTTTAAAGGTGGCCCCCGCAGGAATTAAATAATCGACGGTGCAAAGTGGCCGGGCGATGGATGTGCGAACGTGCCCGCGGCTCGGAAAATCGTCCGTTTAACGGGGCACATAAAAAAGGGTCACCTCGTGCTCGCCGCCACACGGCAGGGCACCGTTTCACAGGCGGCGAACATCAACGGGGGGACACCGAGGGGTGTACGTGGGGGGGGGGGGGGGCAGGTTCGTACGTGCGGTGTTCCCTTGCCGTTCGCCAACTTGCTACCCGCAATTTCGGCTATCCGTGAAACGCACCTGGAACTCTACCTGGCTACGTCGAGAGAGAGGGAGGGGGCAAGAGAGAAAGTGGTGAGATAGAATGTGACACGAGAAAGTGATGAGATGAAGTGATGAGAGATAAAGTGATGACATTTATTATTTGCGTATTTATTTCGTGGATAATTCATCATTATCCGCGAAATTTGCTATTCACGAGCATCTCCGGAATGTACCCCTCGCGAATAACGGGGGATTACTGGAGTCTGTCATTTTCCAGCGTCCCTAACAAGTTGAGAATGAGTTGAATGCAACCGAGCATTGCTGAATCAGACGCTGCTGTGATATTATGAGAAAACATCTGTCCAATGATGAGAAAACCCACCGTGACAGAAACATCGGTGCACTCATTACACACAAGGTGCTCGCCACAAATGAACCACAAAACCTCGCCGATCTCACCAAGGAGCATAAACCATCACGCAAACTCCGGTCATCCTCGCAGCAGCAGCGGCTTTTTGTTGGCCATCGAACAATGATGGTGGTCACCGCATCGCGCGCTTTCAGATGCATTTCTGCGGCCGTCTGGAACGCACCTCCTTCCGATATTGGGAAGCCACTGGAGCTGCGCACTTTAAAATCTAGAATGAAAACTCATTTCTTTAGAACTGCTTTCTGTGCATCAGTTTGCTGTCCTTCCCCCGCACCTCCGATGAGCGCGGTTGGCTACGTACGATGCGAAAGAAGTTCAACACACACGTACGTGCATACAGTGCGGGTCTGAAAACAAAAAGAAAACCCGCGGAGGCCTTGTTAGTTGGCACACTGCACTTGCAATCCAGAGGGCTGGCTGTCGCCTGATGATGCTGGTTGTAATTACCGGCGAAAAGTCGTACTCAAATTGTAGAACCTGTGGGTTTACTCTCCAATACACCGGTGTACTGTACTAGTAACGAATTGGCATGTTCTGCTTACGTGACAAACCTCGCTATATGGTTGTGTCGGGTGGTGGCAGGTTTAATGACATACTTATTACGCGATCTAACACAAAAACCTCTATTACGGATATTGGTCGCGAAAGCTTACGTGTTAAACTAATCCAGCGGTTGCCCGTGTTATTAGTTCCCTGCAGCTGCATTAACGATAAATATGCACCGTCTGCTTCTCAGTGGGCATAAACGAAATCTTATGCGTCACGGTCCGAATTTTGTCCAAATTTGGTCTAAATGTGAACAATGCTGACATGGTGTAATGGTTGGCACGCTGGACAAGCTTTTTAACTACCGCGCCTCGTATGCAGGAGGTCGTGGGTTCAATCCCGACCCTGACGCCTGCTGTGCATTTGGTGTTCGCGCGGATTTCCCTCCGGGTCCTCCGCATTGTCCCCTCCACATTTAGAATCAACGTCGCGTGTTCAGAGCATTTGGCCATCTACACGTTTCCGTGCGATGAGCCGCTTCGTTGAGCTATCGTTTGCGATGACCGCGTCGCTTCCTAAAATGAGCTCTGAAGCTCAGTGGGGCCTTGCCTGGAGTCGTGTAAGTAGTAGCAAATAAATAAATAATGGCAATCCAAGACGTCCGGGCCAGCGTGCGTAGAGAAAGGCCCAAAATACGCGCTCTTCCCCTTACCCTTGATGATGATCGTCGGCAGCGGGTTCGGCGAGCCACTCCCAGCCCTGTCGGGGCTGCCCTCGATCTTGGTCTGCTTGGTGAGGTGCGCCTTCTTGCGGGAGCTCGCCGTGGCGGTGGCGCCGGTGCCGCTGCCCGGCACGGCCAGGACGGCGCCAGCCGCCCCGGCGCCCACGTTGGCGTAGACGTGCTCCGTCGGAGTCTTGGGACGTTTGTGCCTCAGCTCCATTTGCCGCATTTGCTCGTACTGCATCTGTTGCTGCTGCTGCTGCTGCTGTTGCTGCTGCATCTGCTGCTGCTGCTGCTGCTGCTGCTTCTGCTGGGCCTCGAAGTGCCGCTGCTGCTCGTACTGCATTTGCTGCTGCTGCGCCTCGAACTGTCGCTGCTGCTCGAAGTGCCTCTGCTGCTGCTCGAAGTGCCTCTGCTGCTGCTCGAACTGCCTCTGCTGCTCAAACTGCCTCTGCTGTTGCTCAAACTGCAACTGCTGTTGTTGCTGCTGCTGCTGCTGCTGCTCGTATTTCCGCTGCTGCTGCTGCTGCTCCAAGGAGAATTCTTGCGCGGGGACGACCGCCGACTCCTGGCCGCCAAACAGCGGCGTTTTCCTCCTGCGCGGCCTCTCCGGCGCCGGTGGCGCCGCAAAGTAGGCGGACGCCGACGACTCCAAATACCCCACGGACTGTTCGCTCTCCGGCGCGAAGCCGAACTGCGCGAGCTCAAACGCCTGCCGCAGCTGCTGCGACTGCTGCAGCGCCTGCTGCTGCTGCTGTTGCTGCTGCTGCTGCTGCTGCGTCAGGAAAATGTCCGGCAGGTCTTCGGCGTCTTGCGCGAAGAGCGGCGGCCGCGCCGGCTTGGGCTGCGCTGGGGCGGAGGGCCCGTACATGAAGGGCGGCTCAGAGGCGGTGGGCGCCAGGAAGGGCGGCAGCGGCTGCAGCGCGTGCAGGGAGGGCAGCGAGCCGTGGAGGGCGCCGTGGAACGGGCTGTGCAGCAGCCCCGGCTCGATCTCCAGCTCCCGGCGCAGGGCCGAGAGCTGCGCCGCCTCGTAGAGCCGCCGCGGGGAATGCATGGGCGGGTACTCGCCCGGCGCCGCGGGCGACGGCGGGGAGTAGAAGACGGGCGAGTAGGAGGGGGTGACCATGCCGCCGTCGCCGTACTGCGGCTGCAGGGGCGGCGAGGGGTTGAACTGGGAGGGGAGGTCCACCGCGGAGCCGTAGAAGCGTCCGTCGGCCGTCATGCCTACGCGCGGAGCGCGCACACAGATGAAGATCCCCAACCCACCCCCGAAGTACAGCCTTAACAGACTGTTGGGGCGAGTGCAGTTAGTGAGCGCGCGCGCACGAGCGGAGAAGGCGGCAATGTGTGTACGTATGTTGAACTTCTGTCGCACCGTGCATAGAAAACCGCGCTAAACGGGGGTGCGGAAAATTAACAAAAGTGTCGGCAACGGCTGTGCCAACGAAAGTCCTCGTGCTTATTGCGTGTGTTTCTTTTTTTAAAATAATCAAATGTCGTGCTTTAGCTATTTCTGGTTTACATCCAAAGGAAGAAAATGAACAACGTGCAAAACGACTGACCGGTGCCTGACAACCGCTCGCTCGCAAAAGGAGTCCAACGAGGATCTCCGCGCCCAAGGCAAGTCACACGTGGTGTCCCTCATCATTCCCTTCCGCTGGGTGGCTCCGGTGCCAGTGAGGCGGTGGGAATTCTCCTCCCACGAGTTTGGGCAGGGATCCGTGTCACCAAGTAACTCGACTCACAAAGAGGCCTGTAATTCATTGACCCCGAGCGGATTCTTTTCTTGCGACTGGCAATGCCAACGTCAGGGTCTGCCGCTTTGCCACGACGAGAGGCCCTTCTGGAGAGTTTGGTCGAACTAGTTTCGCGACTGCAGGAATTAATATTCTTGGTTTTTTCAGTAAAGTCACGTAGATAGAAAACAAAAAAGGAGACCGCTTGTGTTGCGATCGAAACGTCGTGGGTTTTTTGCTTTTCTTATTTCAAATTTTTTATTATTATCTAAATTATTATTTAACTTTCATTTTTTATTTTCTGTCGACGTGACTTTACCGAAAGAACCAAGAATACCATATTATATTCTATGTTATATTCTTGGTTCTTTCGGTAAAGTCACGTAGAAGGGAAACAATAAAATAATAAAAATATAAAACAATTAAATTCTCACGACGTTCCGACTGCAACACAACACACCTCCGTGGTGCTAACGTTAAATAAACCGCCACTTTTTTCAAATTTTCTTGCTGTGGTTTTCACACCTAACATCCTTGGAGAGCTCTTTGGTCTTGGCCATGGTGGAGAGTTTGGAATCTGATTGATTTATTGCTTCTGCGGACAGGTGTCTTTTATACAGGTAACAAGCTGGGGTTAGGAGCGCTCCCTTTAAGAGTGTGCTCCTAATCTCAGCTCGTTACCTGTATAAAAGACACTTGGGAGCCAGAAATCTTTCTGATTGAGAGGGGGTCAAATACTTATTTCCCTCATTAAAATGCAAATCAATTTATAACATTTTTGACATGCGTTTTTCTGGATTTTTTTGTTGTTATTCTGCCTCTCACTGTCCAAATAAACCTACCATTAAAATTATAGACTGATCATTTGTCAGTGGGCAATCGTACAAAATCAGCAGGGGATCAAATACTTTTTTCCCTAACTGTAAGAGACCTCCATCCTCTGGCCTGGAATCTCACGGAATGCGCCAGAGATCCCAAACCGACCTACCACCACCGCCGTCTGTGCCGTTTTGCACAGACGGCGCCTCCCCCCCCGCCCCTGCCCCAAGGGCACTTAAACCAGGCGGAAACAGTCCAGAGATAGGTTGCGACCTAAATGCCAACCGGGGCAAAAGAACAACATTCAGTGTTACATTGAAGACGGTAGCGGCGTTCAATTTGAAATCTCGCAAGGGCCGTCCGTCGCTGCCGTCGGCCGTGGATTACCGGTTGCTGGGTGGACGCGCTCGTGCGCAGCGACCGTCCGCTGCGACCGTCCGCTGCGGCCCGAGCGGCTCGACTTCGGTCAACCGCGGAGCCGCTGGGCGCGTGCCATCGAGTCGTCGCGCGTTCTCTTATTACCGGTCGCTTACAACGACGCTTTCACGATTGCCTCCACGGGCTCCCTCAAGCGGAGGCCCTTCTCGCCAGCAGCGGCGCGAACGAGGACGAATCAGCCCCGAAATGAGCACCTGACGTGGTGTGTAATCATCGGCACCGGGGAGACAAAGGCGTCCGTCCGGGCATGGTATTGGCCACCCAACCACCCTCGTGCGCCATGCTGGCCTTCATCGGTGCTACTCGCTAGCAGCACTTGACTAGACGGTCTGTTAAAGGCTGACACGGGCGGGGGGGGGGGGTGGGGGGAATCTTTGTCTTTGGTCAGAGTGCATGTGACGGAGAGGAGAGGCGTGCGACGGTGCCACGCTTACCCGTGGGCGAGTGGGCGTACGCCCCGCTGGGCCTCTGCAGCGGCATGAAGGGCCGATCTGGCGGGCCCAGAGGTGGCGACGGGCCCTGCCCAGGACCCATCAGGTCAAAGCCGTACTGCACCTGGCACTGCGAAGCCACAGACAGCGGGGAAAGGCGACACGCGTTTGAACTGGATTCATCGCCGACGCTCGCACAGCCCCAAGCATGTTGCTTCTAATTTCAGGGGTCGGGCCACACATTCATTCTCTCGCAAGTTCTTGCCACGCACAGTAGAACCCCTCTTAATGACCACCCCTGTGAATGACTTATCGTGAAACGATGGGCCTCCATAGAGCCCAATGTGTAGTGTATAGTGTAGTGTAGAGTAGTGTATAGTGCAGTGTATAGTGTAATGTATAGTAGTGTATAGTGTAGTGTACAGTGTAGTGTATCGTAGTGTAGTGTATAGTGTAGTGTATAGTGTAATGTATAGTAGTGTATAGTGTACTGTATAGTGTAGTGTATAGTAGTGTAGGGTCTCTATAGAGCCCAATGTATTTGTTTACCGACCATTCCCCTGTAAACGACGGGCTGTTGTAGGTACAGTAAATATGAATGAATGCATTGATTAACCATGTTTCTTTGAATATTATGTGTTTATATGTATTAATATGCATTTTTAAAATATTATAAAGAGGTGTAACTTTCGATGCTATCGGAAGGAATGAAGCCTTTAACGTGCATTTCCTATACTCGCTTAACGACGAAATCACTTAATGACCGGCTCCGTGGAACTAATTAACGTCGTTAAAGAGGGGTTCTACTCTACTGCTCACTGCGGGCATCTTCACCCAGAGCCACCGTACTCAACTCCTGCTGCCGCTCGTGTCTAACTGGCGCTCCCTCGGGAGAGATCAAAGCGGCTGACCTCCGGATCGTCGTGAGCCCAGTGCGCTAAATACTTTACCACGGCAGCATCGCGATGACAATTCTGCGCATTCGGCATTCGTGGCACACAAAAAAAATGCGCCGCGCTTCACAGCCACGCGCGCTACAGCCATTGCCCCCCGCCGTTCCGGGCGGCGGGGGCGGTGGGGGGCACGTACCTCCTGCGGGAAGAGGCGGCTGGGCGGGCGCGCCCGTGCCGTGGCGGGTACGATCGGCGGCTCAGAGTCCGCGACCTCGTGAACTAACACCTGTTCCACCTTTTCTGTCAGAAAGAAGCGCAGATTCCACGTCAGCTGTTAGCTGAAGTCGGGAAGAGAGAAAGCCGAAGCGTCGTCGTCGTCGTCGTGACGACGACGCCGACGCCGACGCCGCCGGATGACCAACGTCCCGACGACGGCGTTGCCGGGCCCAAGCGGGGAGAGTTCCCGCGCGAGGCTGGACGGGAGTGGGGTGTCTGCGTCGGATAAGCCCGCAACGTGACGATCAATTCAGCAGCGACTGTGCCCGAGCAGGGTCGAAGGGGTAGCCCCTGGCGCCCCCCTCCCCCCCCCGCCCCTTCCCTGCGTTCTCGATAAATGTTTAAGATGCGAGCCATTTTGTGATGCTGAAGTACCTTGGCATTTTATCCTGTTTTGTGCACTTTGTGCATTAAGCTCCGAGTCTCTGTTGGAACATTGCACAGGGCGGGGGGCAACGTCAACTGAGAGCAAATGCAGTACTCACCCTGTTTCTTCTTCCTCCCAGCCGCTTTTTTTTTTCAAAAAACAAGAGACAGAACACACATCTTGTGAACCTTAAACGAACGGTCAGGAAGCAGGAAAAAAGTGATCGGTGTTCATGTGTGATAAAAAAAATCACGCGTAAAATATAGGAGGGCAGGGGGGGGGGTGGGGGGGTGGGGGGGTGGGTGGGTGAGGAAATGCACATCTGATACAAAAAATAATATGTAAGAGACTCACCTCTGTCCACTGCACATTGGTTTTAGGTCAATCGGGGGGGTAGGGGGGGGGGTGGCGAGAGAATTTTACAGGAGGCGGAGGAATGCGAGATGGTGACAAATGGAGAAAACAGAAACAAGAAGGGGGGAAAGAATTCGTGACAATTTCGCAATGCAATAATCAACTCCGTATACATGTATACATGCGGAAACGTATACAATATATACCGCATGTCTCGTGTATGTAAGTAGGTATGCACGCACGCATGGGTGCACGCAAACTCGAGCGGATAGGGACGATGCCGAGTGTAAATGTGGCACCGATGCTGCGGGACGTGACTATGTTTGTGATGTTAAACACGGTTTTGAGCTCACGCATGCTTTGCTGTTCACGCAACTCAAGTCGAGGAAACGTCGACGTAAAATTCCGGTTTTAACAAAAAAAAATTGCAGTTGTAGCAGAGGCATGCGCGGTCTTCCCCCATGTGATCTCGTAACGGTCAGAACGCTTGCACGTGCGTGTACGATGGGAGCGGATGAGCAGCTGTCGGCGCGCTGGGCTACGAACCCTGCGAACCGAGTTCGATTCCCGCTCACGGCCAACACCGGCGACGATTATCTGAACCGGTCCTGGGCCTCCCCCTAGGTCAACTCGGCCTCAAATGAGTACCCGGTGCGGTGTGTAGCCAACATCGCCACTCGGGAGACAAAGGTGGTTTGGCGTGGTGCTGGCCACCCACCCCCTCGTGTGCCGTGCCGGTCTTTTATTAGGTGCTCGCTAACAGCACTTGCTCCAATTGCCTGTTTCGGCTATACGGGGGGGGGGGGGGGGGTGGGGGGTGGGGTGGAACTTTGCCTTTGTGTGCGATGGGACGCGTTGTACAGAGGGGCCGCGTCGGCCCTGTTATTAACCCGCGCGCGATCGTGTGTGAGTGAGCGTGTGATGGTGATGCGCATTCACGGACAGGACGGTCACACGCAGCGGCGCGCCTCTGACGAACACGACGACGATGACGACGATAACGACCACAGCGCCGTGAACTAAACGGCCCTGCTCCGTGCGGCGGATGCCGCGCTGCGTTAGTTACGCCCCGGGGTTTAACTTGAGTTTATTTTATTTTTTTCGCGCAAGGAGAGCGGCAGCCGCAGTCGCGAAGAGAGGGAAACGGCTCCAGCGGGCGAGGCTGCCTTTCTATGATTAACGTGCCGGGTTCTCGCCGTCGCCAATTTGGGGAGCGCGCCGGCGCTTTGGCAAGAACTGCAACGTTTGCGATGTTTCCCCGGAGGGAGATAACGCTTACAATTCCCCCCAACCAACGCACCCCCCCCCCCCCACTCCGCGTTAATAACGTCGCTTAAAAGCGGGCGATTTGTGAAAATGACAGACTCAGCGCGAACCTATAGGGTGGCTCCGGGACAGTCACTTAAATCGGGGGGGAAAGGGGGGGTCATCAATCAACGCACTGCGAGCGGCGGGACAGGAGCCAGCCGCCGCTTGTCCGATTGAACGCGCGACGCCGAGAGGAAATCCCGTTTAGCCGGGACGGCTGCGGAGGGGGGCGGCTTTGCTTTGCGCTCGAGAGTGACGTTTTTTTTCCGTGAGCCCTCAAAACGTAACGCGACGTGTCCTGTCATTCAGGCCCACGTAAAATGTCGGCAGCCCTCGGAATTAAGAGAGCGATGTACACGAGCCCGCTGTCTCTTGAACGCTCCCTCCCCTCCGATGAAGGCACGTGTTTAAAGGCCGACAAACACCGCTGCACTGCGACTAGGTTTACACGGGCAGAGGGCCCTCAGCGACGGATGTAGTTCCTCTCGTCCGTTCCGGTGAAGCTGAGAACCCAGGGCCACTTCGAGGCATCTGGCCCCTCCTTACTCCCCACGCTTTAGTTTTTTTGTTTTCCTCGAACGAACGTTCACCGATGGGCGACGTGCGCGCTACTGCACGGCGCGCAATCGGAGTAACCGGCGTTGTATCCCGCGGAGGGGGTGGGGGGTGGGGAGCCCAACCGCTGCGAACGTGGAATCATCTCTCAAAAGTTATAAAATTAAATCAAGCGGCGGGAAGTTCGCCGCTCGTGAGCGGGCTTTTCTCTGTCTCCATTTGGATAAAAGCCCGGCCTGACGGAATTTCGTTGCGCGGGGCTGAGCGTCGGGCACCCGCGCATCAAATACTCCTGGGAGGTCCTTCTCTCGCGGCGTCCCGCTTGCAACGGATCCCGCCCCCCACCCTCGGCGCGTTTAACGAATCTCGTTCAGGGAGAGAACGAGGGCGATGCCAGCAGGCGGGCGGCAAGGCCCGTCAACGTGGCCGCCGCGAGGCGCACGGAAAGTAAAAGTTCTAACGCGAGCGCAAAGCGGTGCCCGGAGAGAGGCGCCGGGATGCCGGCAAAAGTCCGCGGGGTGTAAATCTCGAGCACAGGCGCGACCGCTTCCTCACGCCCGTCTTTTGTTGTTGTTGCAAACAGCGAAAGCGTCGACAGTAAAAATGTTATGCAACCTGGTGACTGCAAGTCTCTTTACCTCCAGGGGTGATGAAAAACATCGCTGCAAGACTTGGTCTAAAATGTCACAGATTCATCGGTTAAGGTGCAATTGTTTCAGTGGCACAAATATAGCACACACAAACACACACACACAGTGCGTGGTTGAAGGGGGACCCCCCCACCCCCCCACCCCGTTTTCCCCCTCAGCTTGGCGCCTCTCTAGACGGCCGCAGTTCGGGGGGGGAAAAAATGACACGTGGTGAAAAACGTGACACGGATCGTCGCCAGTGCCCACGCTCCATTCGGCGGCGCCTTTCTTAAATCGTGGGGCATGCGTTCGCCAATCGAGAATATCCTGGCACACAGCCTTGGGGTTCAAGCGACAAGGCTACGGCCACGGTTTTAGGGTTATCGGTCGAGTCAGGGGGTTAGAGCGTGAGGTTGGGCCTAGTGCGAGGGCTGCGGTGGCTCGGGTTTGTTGTTGAACACAGCTCGGGGTGGGGGGGTGGGGGTGGTGGGGTCACTTTCTCGCCGCGTGTCATCTTTTCCCAGTGCGGGCGTCGCAAACCAAAGATGGAACCCTCAAGTTACCGTGCACATTGTTTACCCCAAAAATTAGTTCGGGAAAAGGCCAGGGGCCCCACAGTGATTCAACGTGACGCAGCTTTGAAGCCATTTTTTTTTTTTACATTTTCGGTTTAACGGCACACCTCACTTCAAAAAGGAATCTTTTTTAAAGTGTTCAACAGAAACAGGGGGTATATCGGGGGGGTGAGGGTGTTTGGGGGGGGCACAACCTGGGGCACAACAAATTAACGGCCCAGGGCTATGGCAGCAACCGCTACCGCTTGCTGGGGGTTTGCCACCGGCGCGTACTCCCTGGCCGGCGGGGGTGGGGGGCGGTGGCCTCTCCCGAGGTCGCCCCTTCTCTAGAGCGAGGGCTCCACCGCCGCCACCGCCCTGCCGTCGTCGTTGTCGTCGTCGTCATCGTCGTCATCGCCGGCGGCGGCGGCAGCCCTGCCGGAAGGCCACTCACCAATTTCCTCCAGCTCGGCCGTCATCGACTTGGAGCGGAACGACACCGTGGCACTTTGGGACTTCTTTGGCAGTGGGGGAGCTGATAAACCAAACCAAGGAGACAGCGAGAGAGAGAGAGAGCTGTGATAGTGTGGCACTAATTCAACTAGAAACTCTAAAAATAAATTATTTTAACAGGTTGAGGCCCACTGAGCTATGTAGATATTTTCAGAAGTGACCCGGCCACACAAATCATAGCTTGACGAAGTGGCTTATCACGTGGACATTTATAGCAGCTAAATACCCTAAAAGCGTGATTCTAAATGCGGAGGGGAAAACCGGAGGAACCAGAGAAAACCACACGACAGCAGGGAGAGAGACATGCAAACTCCAAATATACAGGCGTCTCTGGGTCAGGATCGGACCCATGGCCTCCTTTAATGGGCCACGTGGGGTGGGGTCGTGATAAATATCGAGATTTATTAAGAAACTTGCGCCATTGTTTTATCGGTACCGAGGCTCCCGCTAGGTCATGCAGGAGGGCGTGTGCCACAGTTTGGCGCCAGCTTATGATAGAGTGCGGTCGTGTCGCTACAGTTCTCTGCGGTGAGTGCAGTGTCTTTCAAAACAACGATGTTACGCATCTCTCAACAAAAACGAAGCTGAAGCGCTCGCCACAATTCCGAGATTCGCCAGTGAACGGAAAACCCGCATCCTGCAAACTTGGCGGACGTCCCGGAACGGGAACAGGGTTAATAATCCTCAAACTACTCGGATGCGGTATCGTCCATAGATTGCATAAACGGCGTCTTGCGCTCGAGCAAAGCGCACGCAGAGTGGCCTCCTCCCCCCCCCCGCTGAACACCACCCCCCCCCCCCCCCCCCCCCCCCAGTGTGCTCTTTCACACGACATCGCAGCAGTCGCGCGGCGGAGCGTGCGCTTAATGAATGAGCAAGGCGCAGCGCCCGATCCCTAACGGTCCCAGGGCCATTTGTCAAGAGAATAAAAAATGGATGGAATTGAACATTTTTGGCTTCAATGCTCGGCTCGTAAAAGTAAAAAAACCAAAAAAAAACAAGGCCCTCCCGCGCGACCGCCAGCCGCCACGGCCGCCTCCGTCGTGAACGTTTGCAGAGACGCACGCGCGCCTGTCCTCCAGACAGTCTCGTCCCTTCACCTGATGAAGGCCGCTTGTGTTGTGGCCGAAACGTCGTGAGAATATTATTGTGTTATTTTATCAATTTATTATTTTATTCTCATTCTACGTGACTTTACCGAAAGAACCAAAGAAGATGAATCCTTGCAGTCACGAAAGCTTTAAATCGAAATTTATTACGGATCTACCGAGCGGAATCAATTAATCTCGATTAACGATCCGCAGTCACCATATATGGCCAAAGAGATACCCCTTCGGCCAAAGCCACGCCCACTTTATTCCATATATGGGCAAATCTCTGACAGGTGATTTTGTCGGGTGTACGATTCTATTGTATTACGGCGTTCATCACCTGTCCGTCGTGCCTGAGCCAGGAGGCCAACGTCAGTGGCGAGCGATACGTTCCCCCCAAAATACGAATGAAAAAACGGCTTTAAGCCCATCGGCCTGTTGGCTTTTCCACACCAACATTATCCAGCAGCAGCAGCAGCAGCAAATTGTCTCGAAGCAAAAGCAAAAAAACACTCTGGACCGGTTTTTCCGACCTTCCGGGTCTCATCGGCAGAGTCGGCCCCGTCGAGCAAACGCTGCCGTGTCGCCAGGCGGTATTGGCAGCGGCGACTCCGTCTAAACGTCGGTTCAACGCAGCGCAATGCGACGCGATCGAACTCACGTGGGACGTTGAACTTCTTGACCACAGTAAGTAGCCAACCGTGCCAATCGGAGGTGCGGCGGAAGGACAGACAAGGAAACGCGTCGTCGGTTCACAACAGAAATGTTGCACTCCGGGCCCCTCGCCTTTTCTGCGCAGGCCATCCTCCTGGTCCGGGCGCCGGCTCACCGACACCACCTTCATCACCAGGCTGTTCCCGCCCTGGCGGATGAGCCCCACCACGTGCTTGTGGCCGCACTTGATGATGTTCTCGCCGTTCACCTGCCCCGCCGCGGAGGAGAGGGAGGAGGAGGAGGAGGAGGAGGAGAAGGAATGACAACAGGGGCAGGAGGCGCGAGCTCTCGCTTGTGCGAGTAACGAAGGGCCCGCGGGATGAGCCAACCCGAGAGAGGCGATGACCCGGTGTTCTTCTTCGCAAGGCCACCACGGCGGGGGCACTGGCGGTGGCCTTTAGTGCGGCACCCGGACGTGAGGGTCCCCCGACAAGACACAAATGGTGAAAACACCCCCCCCCCCTCCCCCCCCCCCCATCATCGTCATCATCATCATCATCGTACTGCTGTCACAAACCCCTCAATGGTTTCAAACGTGTGACGGCCCTCACACTGATGACTGAAGTGGCACCCCCTCCCACCCCCCCCCCCCCCCCCCGCCTCTGAAAACTAGTGAAGGACACTGCGCTATTAGAACGCACGGCCCAAGTCTACCCGTGCGGCGCACGCACGCACACACTCGCGCGCGCGCGCTCGTTGTTGTGCCTGGCAGGCATCGATGGGTGCAGCCGCGCACATGACAACTGTGTATCCGCACACACGCCATGGGAAGGGGTGCACAGTCGTGGGTGTAATGCACAGATATTTATGTTTGCTGAACTTCTTTCGCACCGTACGCAACCCACCGTGCCAATTGTTGGCACGGGGGGGAAGGACAACAAACTAAGGACACAAAAAGCGGTTTCCAAAAGAAATTAGTTCGTCAATCTAGATGATTTGAAGGTGCATAGCTCCGGTGGCTACCTAATATCGGAAGGAAGAGCGTTCCAGACGGCCGCAGAAGCGCATCCGAAAGCGCGCGATGCGGTGACCACCGTCTTTGTTCGACGGCTTGAGCCAAAAGCCGCTGCCGCTGTGAGGACGGACCGGAGTTTGCGTGATGGTGGTTCATGCTCCTTGACGAGGAATGTGGAGCAGCAGCACTCCTCCCCAAATTTCAGAACTTCATGATTTGCCTAGGGTTGCCACCTTTACCACTTTAGGCCAAACACAGATTGCACTGCTCAGTCAGCGCTCGGTCGATTATCAAAACTAGCGCAGTCTTATTGGGATCGAGTTCAACACAGAATACAATTGCTGCTGCCACCCGAACACGGGCGCCGATTCCCGGCAACCCTCGCTGTGCCCCCATAAGGTGTTTGTGGATCTGCTTCACAACTCAACATGGAGAGTGACTTACCAACCTCAAGATTGCACCATCAACAACACCAAACAAAGATCCCCCGCAAAGTCTTAACAGACCGTTGGGGCAAGTGTTGTTAGTGAGGACCTATGAAGGCTAGCATGGCACACGAGGGGTTGGTGGCCAACACCACGCCCGGCCGCCTTTGTCTCCCCAGTGGCGATGTTTACACATCGCACCAGGTACTCACTTTAAGCTGAGTCCACCTAGGTGAGGTCCAGAACTGGTGTTGGCTGTGAGCGGGAATGGAACTCGTTTCGTTGAGTTCGTAGTGCAGCGCGCTAACCGCTACACTACCGCTCCCCATCAACAATCACCAACAAACACAACTGCAACTTCACCCATCACCATCCTCAACACTATCATTATCAACAAAACCCTCAACACGTTCCATCAATAAATACTGCCTTTGAAGGCAGAATATAGAGGAGGTGGCGTTTTGGGGTGATGGTCCTTCTTCATAGCAATTAGCCGTCATGATTAAATTGCTGCCCGCGATTGTGCTGGTGCGCCTGGCCAAGGAGAGACCGGCGATCCGGGAGCCACGGTTAATGCCGCTGGCGGAGGACAGGGCAGGTGGAAGAAGGCCTTTGTGGAGTCGCTGAACCTGCGACTCGATTCAGTTCGGAAAAGCGGGCCGGTACTGATTGATTGATATTATATCACGACCAAGAGCACCACCACAACACGTACCATCAACAACACAATCAAGCACCATAACCGCATCACCACGACCACCATCATCATCACCACCAACACCAACACCTTCACTAGAAGCAACCCGATCACTATCGTCATTATTGTTATAGTTGCGAAGAGCAGCCCCCACCAGCACCGCCGCTAGCAACGACACCATCGCACCTGTGAGCGAGCACCTGTGAAATCCGGCAAGGTGCACGATGGGGAGGGTGGCCAAACACCAATGTTGATGTTTAGATAGCGGACCCGGTACCTATTTATGGTGTGAGTCAATCTATGGAAGGCCCAGAATTCGATTCAGATATTCATCACCGATGTTGGCTGTCAGCAGGAATCTGATCTCGGTTCACACTTCACGTGGCACTTAACGTGCACCTGGCCTGGCACACGCGCCGTCGTGACATCACCGCCGCTTAGTGGCGAAGGCCGGTTGTTGTTGTTGTCGAGCTATGAACCCGACGGCCCGAGTTCGAGAGAGAGGGAAGAGAGGTAGAAGAGAGAAGGAAGGACCAGAAGTGAGCTGCACAAAGTTGCAGTGTCCGTTTACACGGGGCGGCGGGGAGGGACTCTTAAATTAAACTAAACGTTTTATTTGGCCAGATAAGGCCCACTGAGCTATGTAGCTCTTTATACAGAAGCGGCCTGGCTATCATATATGCTCGCTCAATGAAGTGGCTTATCACGTGGAAATGTATAGCAGCCAAATACTCTAAAGACGTGAGAATAGGGTTTTCCCCTTTTATCTGTCCACAAAACAGTTGTGTTAAGTTGTTACAACACCAAACTGAAACCTTTTACAAGGAATCATGTCTGCATTAATCACAATACCTGTGGTCAAAATGCAAACAAAAAAACATACTCTGATAATATGATGCATTGTCCTTGAAACTGATTGGTCCACACCAGAGACAGCTTTCTTTTGAGCCTCGCCTCAAACGATGTTAGACCAGAGGACGCCAAAAGGCGGACAGCCAACTCTATAGATGTGTTTATGAAATGTGGACGGGAAAATTGGAGGACATGGAGGAAAAAAAAAAACGGGACCAGGGGGAGAACATGCAAACTCAAAATATACAGGGTTGTCAGGGTCAGGATCGAACCCACGACCAAGTGTATAATACCAGGCGAGGTCGTTAACATCTCGCCACCGTGCCACCCCGTGTGCGCTAAACCACTGCACCGCTGCTTCACACATCACATCCGCCACCGCTAACACCACTGCCGTCCCAAATCAAAACCCAATGCCACCACAGACTGAACCTCATGATTGAAAAAGCATGCCGTTTCAACGAGCCTCCTGGCCCTGTCGCTCGTGATCACAATGTATTTCTGCCACAAGGCCGCAGCCTTTAACAGAGGCATTCCGCACAGTGTGTGTACGCTTACAACAGGACTGATACTTTAAGACATTTCGCAATTATTTTCTTTTGACCGAAACACATTTTTGGACGCTTTTACGGCCGAATGCTTTTGTGCGATGCAACCTTTGAAAAATACCCCACACTGTCTTTTCTCTATTCAAATTACATCACTAATGAACGAAAACCACGCAAATGTCACATCACGCCGTCCTCTTACGGTTTGCAGCACTTCCACTGTTGCCGTGACAACGGCGGGTTCCTAGCAACAGCTGAGCATCGCCATGGCAACTACTCCAAGCTATTAACCCCCTCCTCCTGCCGCTAAAAAAAAAAAAAAACCACGCACGAAATCCCAACCTTCAAGGCCCGACTCGGGCTCCGTCAACACTGAGCATCCACGCGACGTTCCCCCGGTCGAACATTTGAAACTGAGTTGACAACGCTGGTGTCGCGCGGCGTTGCCGTTTCTCGTTTCGCGGACGACGCAAAAATCCCTCCGCGAGCCGCGAGGCTCTTAGCGGCGCGGAGGCAAGCGGCGGGTCGCAGGCAGGCACGCAGGGCACCCGCCGGGGTTAAAAAAGGAGGCGAAGCCCTGCCGGAACGCGGCGGCACCAAGTGGGCTGGCGGGGCTGTCAGCCAGAGAATGACAGCAAGAGGGGGCGACCGGCACGGATGGGGCCGGGCGGCCAGAGGGTTTGGGTGAAGGGGAGGGAGGGGGGGGGTTGAGAAGCGGTGTGGTGGTGGTGGGAAGGGGAGGTGATGGTTATGGGGAGCGGTGGTGGTAGCGGTTAGGGGGCCGTCCATAAATGACGTCACGCGATTTTGGACGATTTTTGACCCCCGCCTTCGTCACACGGCGTCACAAAAAGTTAGATCCCCCCTCAAATATGACGTCACAAAGCTCTGCCCCCCCCCCGCTCCCCAAAAAATAAAACATGCTTCAAATCTTGATTTAAAGCTTTCGTGACTGCAGGGATTCATATTCTTGGTTCTTTCGGTAAAGTCACGTAGAAGGGAAACAATAAAGTAATAAAAATATAAAACAATAAAATTATCGCGACGTTTCGACTGCAACACAAGCAATCATCATCAGGTGTGAAAACCACAGCAAGAAAATTTGAAAAAAAAATCTTGCTAAGGTTTTCACACCTGATGATGATTGCTTGTGTTGCAGTCGAAACGTCGTGATAATTTTATTGTTTTATATTTTTATTATTTTATTGTTTCCCTTCTACGTGACTTTACCGAAAGAACCAAGAATATGCTTCAAATCGCTTTAAACTATTGTCATTGTAGTGCATATTTAATGTGGCGCTGCACTCTGATGTTGTAGGAGAAAACATTTATTAAAAAGTCTTATTTAATTAATTAGAACGTGTCATTTATAGTTATTTAAAGTTGCACATTTTGATGTGACGTCACATTTCTCAACCCCCCCCCCCCCTCGTCACACATCGTCACAAATGTTTGACCCCCCCCCACCCCCCCAGGTGCGTGACGTCATTTATGGTCGACCCCTAGCGCTACGCTGCGCTTCTAACCCGACGACTCGAATTCGCTTCGCGCTCACGGCCAACACCACCAGTGACGATTGTCTCAACCGGTCCTGGGCCTCCCCTAGGTCGACTCAGCCTCAAATGAGTACCTGGCGCGATGTGCGAACGTCGCCACTGGGGAGACAAAGGCGGCCGGGCGTGGTGCTGGCCACCCACCCCCTCGTGTGTCACAGTGCCGGATTTTTATAGG